GCCAGGCACAGTGTCCATCCTGCAGTGTGTGTGACCGCAGCCGCGCACACTCCCACTCGTGCGACCTCAGGAGTGTTCACACTCCTTGTTGAGACTTCAGACTATCCGCAGCCCTGCTCTACCGTCACAAGGCTCTCCGCACAATGATGTAGTCTACTCTAACGTGTGTGCGTGTGTGTTTTGGTAAATTCTAAAATAATGCGGGAATTCTTTCTCCTCCACACCACCCTGCCCACTCTTTGTGGCCGTGAACCATGAGGAGCTGTTCGTGCCTAAATTCAGGGGGTGTTTTGTTTGCAGCTCCGCCAACACTGCAAGTGCTCCCTTCCTTTCTTGTTTCCCCTCAGTGGCCTCAGTGGACCACTGCATTTCTACCTCTTCCTTCCCAAACCCTTGCGCACACACACAGACACACACATAGGTGCACAAGTCTCGCCAGCCATGGCCACTGCTGAATGAGTTCATCACGGAGTCCCTGACATGGCACCTTTTCCTGAGATGATCACATTGGGATGGCTTTTCCTCAAATGCATTACTTACCTCTTTTTTTTTTTTCTTCCTTTGGAACCAGGGATGGAACTCAGGACCCTGTGCTTGTGAGGCAGGTGTGGTGCCACTGAGCTAAATCCCCAGCCCTTACAGTGCTTCTCTTTTTTTGTTTGTTTGTTTTGGTTTTTTTGAGACAGGGTTTCACTATGTAGTTGAGACTGACCTGGAACTGGCTACGTAGCCCAGGCTGGTCTCGACCTCACAGCTATCCTCCTGCCTCAGCCTTCCGAGTGCTGTGATGACAGGCATGAGCCACCACATCTGGCTTTTGTTTGTTTGTTTTTTGTTTTGTTTTGTTTTTTGAGACAGGGTCTCACTATGTAGTTGAGACTGAACTGGAACTCACTATGTAGCGCACATTGGTCTCGAATTCACAGCGATCCTCCTGCCTCAGCCTCCAGAGTGCTGGAATTACAGGTGTGCACCCCCACGCCCGGCTCCCTACAGTATTTCTCTTAAAACTACCATCTGAAGCCATGTGTGGGACACACGCCTATAATCCCAGCCCTAGGGAGGCTGAGGCACAAGGATTATGAGTTTGAGGGCAGCTCAAGCAAGTTAGCAAGACCCTGTCTCAAAAAAAATGAAAAAGAGTGGCCGGGGATTTAGCTCAGTGGTTCTGCTGCCTGTTTAAATGCAAGGTTCTGAGTTCAATCCCCAGTACAAAAAAAAAAATGTGAGAGAATGAAAAGATGAAAATAAAGTGTTTGTAGATGGGGAGGGGAGGAGGGGGTGAAGGGAGGGCAGAGGTAAGGGGAAAAAAATGAGAATCAAGACTTGCCATGTAAAGGTACATGATCCCAACAATGAATGTAACTGTACTGTATCCCTAAATGTACCAATAAACTCAATAAATTAAAAAAAAAAAAACAAAACAATGAAAAAGAGCCAGGCTTGGTGGCTAGAGGCTGAGGCAGGAGGATCGCTGAGAATTCAAGGCCAACCTGAACTACATAGCCAGACCCTGTCCCCTCACCAAAAGAAAAAGCCTACCATCTGTAAGTGTAGAGAATGCCTCTACCACTGTTGTGTGGAACAGCACCACAGTGCTTTTGATCAAGGAACTCACTTCCCAGCAAATCAAGGGCAGCAATGGGCTCGCACTCATGGAGTTCACTGGTCTTACCAGGTGCCCACCTCCTGATGCAGCTGGCTGGACAGAACTGTGTGATGCCCATATAGAGACACAACTTCAATCCCGGCTAGGTGACAATATCCAGCAAGACTGAGACGAGGTTTTGCAGAAGGCCACATATGCCCTGAGTCAGTGTCCAATATGTGGAGCTGTTTCTCCCATAGCCAGGATTCACCTTTCCCCTTTGGGACTCACTAGCAAAATTCCTGCTTCCTGCTCCTGCTACTTTATATTCTGCTGAAGGAAGGCTGCCACCAGAGATGGGACAGACTTGACTGCACTGGCAGTTAGGACTGACACTCTGCCACGTGAGGCCCCTCACACCTCAGAACCCAGCAGGCAAGGAAGGGGTTAGCAGAGCTGGCTCGGGTGATGATCCTGACTACCTAACGCATTTGAACTGCTGGTCCACAGGGAGTGAAGAGTATTCTGGAACCGTGGAGACCCCTTGGGGGCATCTCTTAACAGTGCCACACAATTGTCACTAAGATCAATGAAAAACTACAACACTGGGAGGCTGAGTCAGGAGGATTGAAAGTTTGAGCCCATCGTGGGCAATTCAGTAATTTACCAAGACCTGTTCTAAAATTCAAAAATGAAATAAAAAGGGCTGGGGATGTAGCTCAATGTGAAGGCCCTGGGTCCAGTTCCCAGTCCCACATACACTACAACAGCCCAACCCAGGCAGGACTACAAATGGCCCGGGGCCCTGGAGGAATGAATGTACAAGTTTCCCTGTAGGTAAAGAAACTAGAGCAGCTGAGAGGCTTCTGAGGGCACAGGGAATACAGAATGGGCAGTGAGAGAAGGTAGTTACAGCTTAAATTACAACTGTGTGACAGTCAACAGAGCTGAACATTGTAATTGTCACAAATATTTCTTCTTTATTTTTGTTTTTGTTTGTTTGTTTGAGACAGAGCCTCATTATGCAGTTCAGGCTGGCCTTGAACTCACAGTGATCCTCCTGCCTCAGCCTCCCAAGTGCTGGGATTACAGGCATGCCCCACCGGTTACAGATATTTCCTCTTTATTTTGCATATGTTTGTGTGTATATAGCAAATATATTTGTTTTTCTCTTCTCATTCCTTTATTGTGTAACATGAGGTATGTTAACTTTATGTCAGTATTTAAATATTGTTAATTTTATTTAATTTTATTATTTATTTATGTATTTATTTTGGGGGTACCAGGAATTGAACTCGTGTCCTTGCACTTGTGAGGCAGGCAGGAGAACCACTGAGCTAAATCCCGGCCCAAGTATTATTAATTTTATATCATACTAGGTGGAGTAATGGCCTTTTTATTGTCTTCATTTGGAGATTAAATATGGTTTAATGAGATGGGTAGGACTGCCGAGTTGAGAAGGGATGGACTTTGATGTCAATCTTATACGTCAGCTTGACTAGGAGGCCTAGCACCCTGTCTGACGTCATTTCTGGGTGTGTCAAAGACATTCTCCAGATGAGCCTGGCATTTGAGCTGGTGGCTGACAGTGATGCAGATTGCTTCCCCTGTGACTGCACACCACCCTTCCATGGGGTCTGAGCAGAGCGGAAGGGAGCAGGAAGAGGGATCAGCTCTGCCTGCCCAGCTGCTTGCACTGGGATACCTCTTCTGTTCTCCAGGGAGACTTCACAGGTAGCAGATTGTGAGCCTTTTCAGCTTTCATAATTCCTTATAAAGCCAGGTGTGGTGCCGCACACCTATAATCCCAGCACTCTGGAGGCTGAAGCAGGAGGATCGAGTTCAAGGCCAGGCTGAACTGTACAGAGATACCTTGTCCCAAATAAGCGTATCATTTCCTTATAATAAATCATAGTGTTTCTTCTCTGGAGCAGGTAGCAGATTGTGAGCCTTTTCAGCTTTCATAATTCCTTATAAAGCCAGGTGTGGTGCCGCACACCTATAATCCCAGCACTCTGGAGGCTGAAGCAGGAGGATCGAGTTCAAGGCCAGGCTGAACTGTACAGAGATACCTTGTCCCAAATAAGCGTATCATTTCCTTATAATAAATCATAGTGTTTCTTCTCTGGAGAATCCTAATGGGTACACCAGCCATTTCACCTCCATCTCTAACACCCACACAAGTACGCAGAGCTGTATGCACAAGTCTGGTAGGAGCACATGATGGGGAAACCTTGTAAAAGGCCAAAAATTTGTGCAATCTGAAGAGAAGCATGCCCAGGAAAACCTTGCAAAGGTCCATTTATAGCCAACGAATGAGAGTTTATGTCCCATCGTAGAGCGCTTACTGTACGTGCTACAGAATGAAAAGGACCTGTGTTGCTAGGCGTGGTGGCACATGCCTGTAATCCACTCAGAAGGCTGAGGCAGGAGAATCACTGCAAGTTCCAGCCATCCTGAGCTATATAGGGTGTTCAAGACTACCCTGAACTGCACAGTGAGACCCTGTCTCAAAAAAAAAAAAAAAACACAAATCAAATAACCAAGGGCCTGTGTGTCTGTGTGGTGGAGGTTCCTTCTCTTTTTTCCTTCTTTCTTTCCTTCCTTGGTACTGGAAGTTGAACCGAGGGCCTCATACATTTTTAAATTAATTAATTATTTATTTATTTTTGGTACCAGGGATCGAACTCAGGTCCATGTGCTTGCGAGGCTGGCGGTGGAACCACTGAGCTGAATCCCCGGCCCTTCATGCATTTTTTAAAAGATTTATTTGTTAGAGATAGTCTCACTATGTAGTTCAGGCTGGTCTTGAACTCCCTATATAGCCCAGGCTGGCGTTGAAATCTTGGTGATCCTCCTGCCTCAGCCTCGTGAGTTCTAGAATTACAGGAGTGTGCCACCACGCCTGGTGCCTCATGCATTTTCGTCAAGCACTCTACCACTGAACTACATCCCCAGCCATTTAAAGAAAATCTATTTGAAACAAGATCTTGCTAAGTAAGTCACTAAATTGTCCAAGCTGGGCTAGAGTTTGTGATCCTCCTGCCTCAGGATGACGGGTGTGAGCCATCATGCCCAGCTCCTTTTAAATGTTATTTTATTTTGAGACAGGGTGGAAGCTGCCCAGGCTGGCTTGAATTTGTGATCCTCCCGGCTAATTTCCTAAGTAACTCGGGTTACAGGCCTGCATCTTGACGTTCAAGTCCTTAATAGCCACAGACCTGGTGTGCCCAGGAGCAAACCTCTCAAACTCTTGCCCCGGGAAACCGCCAGGTAACCTGAAAGAGAAGGGGGCTAAGCTCAGCGTGAGGCCAACAGTGACAGAATGTCCCCAGAGTCCCCGGGCGACAGGCGGAGGGAAGGCCTAACCTTACTCCTTCAGGGAATTCACAAGGTCCCACCTTGGGGCACAGAATTCTTCTTGTGGGATTTGGTGGCGCTGGGAGGGGACCAGGTTGTGTGCCTGCTGGGCTATCTCTCCACACGGAGCCACACCCCCAGCCCCTCCGGGGCCCTCTTTAGGTCAGAGTCCTTGCACGTGCCCCACCTACCTCTGCGGGTCCCGCCCTTGACCTGCGGGTTCAGTCTCAGTCGACTCGGAGGCCCCAGCACCGCCACTCGCCCTGCCATGCTGCGCCGGCTGCCCTCCAGGCTGTGGAGCAGAACTGCGAGGACTCAGGTGAGCGCAGCCGGATCCTGCAGCGGCTGCGGCTTCCCCTCCCTTTGCCTCGCTGTTCTGCCGCTTCTTGATCACTGCCCCCTTTCCTCAGTCCCCCCGTTTCAAAGACAAGCAGAGGGCAGGAGAGACCCGCAGAAAGGCCAGGCTCTGGCCGTGGCGGCCTGGGGACGGCTGGTGGGAGACCTGGTTGGGCGTGACTGCTCCTCCTGGGACAGGTCTGGGGGACGGTGGAGAGAGCCCCTGGGACCCATGAACGGTGTCCCCGAGGCTGGCTCCTGGTCCCTGTGCAGAGGGCGAGAGAACAACGCGGTGACCTTGAAGTCTGCAGGTCTGCAAGAGAGTTGAGGGGCCCCTGGCAGCCTGAAGAGACCTTGAAGAGGACTCTATAGGGACCCCCGCATCCTTTCCTGTGCTAGGGAAGGCAGAATGGTGGGCTGTGTGTTCCAGGTTCTGACTCAACCTACTTAGGTAGTGAGAAATAAAAGTCTTTGTTTTGGAGGGGGGTGACCCAGGGCCTTCTATGGAACTACATCCTCAAACCTTTTGTATTTTCTCATTTCCACACAGAATTTGATTGAGTAGCTAAATTGGACTCTAACTTGGAACCGCCTGCCTCAGCCTCCCAGAGTGCTGGGGTTACAAGTGAACACCATCACGCCTGGCATTATTACTGTTTCTGTCATATTTTTTTGTTTGTTCATTTATTTTGTTTTGGTTTTTAGTGCTAGGGATTGAACCCAGAACCTGAAACATGCTCAGGCAAGTACTCCCCTCTGAGCAACATCCACAGCAGTCATCTATTTTTTTAAATTTATTTACTTATTTATTTTGAGATAGGGTCTTGCTCTGTAGCACAGGCTTCCCTTGAACTCATGGCAATCCTACCTCAGCCTCTCAAGCACTGGGGTTATAAGCATGTGCCACCATGCCTAGCCATCTTTTCTTTTTTCTTTTCCATTTTATTGAGACAAGGTCTGGCCGTACAGTTCAGGCTGGCCTTCATTCTTGCAGTGAGCCTCCTGCCTCAGCCTCCCAAGTGCTGGGATTACAGGGGGTCACAGACATTGTAGGTGTGTGTGCCACCACCCCTGCTAATCATTTTTTTTAAAGCAGACAACTAAACCGGGCGTGTTGGCGCAGGCTGTAATCCTAGCACTCGGGAGGCTGAGGCAGGAGGATCACCAGCTTGTGTTACATAATGAGTTCAAGCCCAGCCTGAACTACTTAATGGGATCCTCCTGTTTAAAAAACAAAAAACTAGCTGGATGTGGTGGCCCACGCCTGCAATCTCAGCACTCAGGAGGCTGAGGCAGGAGGACTGCTGTGTGTTCGAGGCCAGCCTGGAGTACCTAGTGAGTTCAAGAACAGCCTGAATTACAGAGTGAAACCCTGTCTCAAAAAAGCAAGCAAAAGAGCAGAAATTGGTGAAATAGACAGAAACATATAACAGAAAAATCAATGTTGAGAGCTGTTTTGTTGTTGTTGTTGTTTGTTTTGTTTTGTTTTGTTTTTGAGACAGGGTCTCACTATGTATGTAGTGGAGACTGACCTGGAACTCACTATGTAGCCCAGGCTGGTCTCGAACTCACGGCGATCCTCCTGCCTCAGCCTCCCGAGTGCTGGGATTACAGGTGTGCGCCACCACGCCCGGTTTACAAACATTTTCTTGTAGCACTCTCTCCTGGAATTGGGTGCAAGGAGGAAATAGAATAATCGGAGAGGGGACTGGAGGGGAAGAGAAGGAAAAACAAGAGTGTTCAGCGGCACGGTGATTTCTTCTGACTTTCTTTTTGCTTTTTAGTCATGGAGAAATAGCAGTCAGACCCCTTCCCCATGTCTTATCCGGAGACTTGACCACATTGTGATGACGGTAAAGAGCATCAAAGACACCACCACCTTCTACTCCAAGGTCCTGGGCATGGAAGTCACAACTTTCAAGGTAATGTTTCCACAGGTAGATGAAACTATGATGCTAATTTTTTTTTTTTAGATAGAGTCTCCATATGTAGTTCAGGCTGGTTTTGAACTCACTATATAGCCCAGGCTGGCCTCAGAGATCCTCCTGCCTCAGCCAAATTCAGGGATTACTGGCATGCACCACCACACCCTAGTTTGTAGCGATAATTTAAGGGCTGGGATGTGGCTCACTGGAGGGAGCCCTTGGCCTAGGCCTAGCGTTTATGAGGCTCCAAGGTCTTTTCCCAGCACTGTAGAAAAGGGGGTCAGTAAAATTGAGCTTAACACCAAAGACTAAAACACGGGATATATGAGAGAAGACATAAAGGGATCAAGGGAGCAAATTCCAGATTTTAAACAGGGGGACTTGCAGAGAGAGAGTGGACAAGAGGGAAAGGAAGGTAGACAGAAACAAGGAAGAGAAGCCAGGTGTAAGTGTAAATACAGCATTATTAGACATAAAAAGCCTCAGAAATTTGCCTGCCTGGGGGCTGTGGGTGCCACTCAGTGGTGGAGCTGTTGCGTAGCCTGAGAGACGCTGGGTTCCATCCCCTGAAATATCAAAGAGCACGTACATAAATAAAATGAATGCAGTAAGAAGAGATGGAAGCCAGGAATCAGAGGTCCCCAAGAGAAAGACTGTTCACAGGACAGAGAAAGGACCCAAGAGAGAGATCCAAGGAAAATAAGTTTCCAGAGATGAAATAGATCCCTGAGAATCTGGGCCAACTTCAGCTTCCAGAGTAGAGAATCAGGGCCGGGATGGACCTCTGCAGTGGAGGGGGAGGGAAGAAATACAGCAGTGTGGTAGCATTTGTGACACCCACACAGAGCATAATGCTCTTTCCACGGCCGCTTACAAAAAAGCGTGCTTATCTAACACATCAGACTTCTGATGGCGGCCTGAGGTGAGGGTGGGGACAGAGAACAAAAGCCAAACCAAATCATAAATAGAGGTGGGCTTCCCACGGGCCACCTGCAAAGATGAGGTGTGTGTGTGCATGTGACACTGCAGCCCCTGTGCTTGACTTGGAGAACAATTGTAGGACCAATAATTGTAATAGCTGCAGAGCAGAAAGTGACCCTGCCACCAGCCAAAGAATGAGAGGCAGATTAACATCTCGTTCCAGTCGCCATTTATTTATTCCATTTAGCTGTGCAGGAGACCGAGCCCGGGAAAGAACGACATCCCTCCAACCCTTTTATTGCATACTTTAGTAACAGTCTTGCTAGTTTGCCCAGGCAGAACTTGTAATCCTCCTGCCTCGGCCTCCCTCAGTGCTGGGATCACAGGCCTGCACCGCTGCACCCAGCTAACATCAGATTTCTTTTTAGCAGCACCAGACTCAAGCAACATACTTTTAAAAAGGCCATAGGAAAATAATACCAAGTTAGGGTTGTACGCAGAGCCAAACTGTCAGTCAATTGTAAAAGTGAAATAAAGTAATTTTCTGATAGTGGGTATGGTATGGATCAGTGATATAAAAGAAAAAGAGAAATTACAAAAGAAATACCAGATGCTAAGAGGTACAGGAGAGGAAACAGAAGACATCAAAGCAGCAGAATTATCAAAGAACAAGCATCATCCCCAGCACTGCAAAAAAGAAATAATAAATGAACTTGCAAGTGGTTGTTTAAAAATTATAAAGAAGTCAGAAGAGGAACTAAATGATGATGGGATTCTATTGGAAGAGGTTGTAATATTCGTGAGCTAAATTCACATCATGGAGAGATTTCGAGAAAGTATCTAAAGTTGCTAAATCAAGAAATAAGTGTCTTTTAAGTTAGCATGGTGGCACGTGACTGATCTGAACACTGGAGAGGATGAGGCAGGAGGATCTTCATAAATTTGAGACCAACCTACCCTACTTAGGAGTTCAAGGCCAACTCAAACTGCATAGTAAGACCCTGTCTCAAAAAAAAAAAGTCCTGGCTGGGAGTGGATGGTGTACACTTTTAATCCCAGCATTCTGGGAGGCTGAGGCAGGAGGATCACAAGTTAATCCAACTGGGGTAAAGTGACAATAAGGGAGACCTTTGAAAAACATTAAAAAGGGCTGGAGATTGCAGGTCAGTGTAAAGGCTCTTGTAAGCACAAGGTCCTGAGTTTGATCCCTGGTACCCCCCCCCAAAAAAAAAGAAAAAGCAAAAAACATGAAACGTGCTCAGGCACATTGGGAGTTGTGCTGAGGAATGAGCTGGATGGAGCAGGGGCTGCTGTGCAGCAACCTTGTTCTTTAACAAGATCCGGGGGGTGGCTATCTCACTCAGCTTGGAACTTCAGCTCTACTTGTTTTTGTTCCTTGAACAGGGAGACCGAAAAGCACTGTGTTTCGGAGACCAGAAATTTAACCTGCATGAGATGGGGAAGGAATTTGAACCCAAAGCCATCCACCCCCTGCCCGGCTCCCTGGACGTCTGTCTGATCACAGAGGCACCTCTGGAGGAGATGCTCCGGCGCCTCAAGGTGGGAGGGGCTGCTTGTTTTCTGTTGGCCTATGGGATGTTTTGTTTGGTTGGTGATAGGGCTCGAACCAGGGCTTCACATGGCCACGCTACGGAACTACAGCCACAGCCTCAGACTTTGTTCTTTTTGAGAAAACTGCTGCAGATAAAGGAAACATGACCTGGCCCAGGGAGGGCTCCCTCAAGCTTCAGACAGACGATTTCCCCGCATCCACACAGTGCATGTTGCAATTACCTACTCTGAGCCAGGTGTGGTGGCGCACACCTGTAATCCCAGCACTCGGGAGGCTGAGGCAGGTGGGAGTGCGATCCTGGCTCAAAAAAAAATCCCCATAGGAATAAGGCCGGGGGTGTGTTTGGGTAGTGGAGCTGCGGCCTGGGTTCCATCCCCAGCATCACATACCGGCATAGATTTGGAGCCAGACTACCCGCGTTTCGATTCCACTCCTGTCACTCACCGGAAAGTACTACGTACTGTCCCTACGTCCACGTTACGGAGGAGGAAGCTTAGCTTCCGGGCTGTCTGCTCTTGGGCAGAAGAGGGAAGAATGGCAGGAGCTGAGGTCAGAAAGATGAAGGGTGATCAGGGACTTCTAGGCCACTGTTAGGAACTGAATTTTAGTCTCACACATGGGCTATGATAATTGCTTGTTTTCTTCTCCCCCCTCAGGCTTTTGATGTCCCCATTGAGGAGGGCCCAGTCCTCAGAACAGGGGCAAAAGGGCCGATTATGTCTGTCTACTTCCGAGACCCAGACAGAAACCTGATTGAGGTGTCCAACTACATCTCCTCATGATCACCATCGCCCTCTGTTTCCCCTCGTGCAGGTCTAGAGGGCTCCAGCCAAGCCACATAATAAACCAGCAGTCTCCCTGAGTGTGCTGCCTGGGGTTTTGTCCAGGGTCCGACTTGTCTGAGCTCTTCAGAAGTCCAGAGCTGGGAGTGGTGGTGCACTGCAGGCTGAGGCAGGAGAATCTGAAGTTTGAGCCCAGTCTGGACAATTTAGGGAGATCCTGTCTCAAACAATTAAAAAAAGGCTGGGGTTGTAACTCAGTGACACAAATAAATGTTCGTGACCAGGGTGTGGCATTTTTTTTTTTTTTAGGACCAATTCAGGTTGTCTCCTTGGGATTCAAAACCTCTTACAGATTTCTCCTTGTTAGTGATCTATTCTTTTTCTCTTCCCTTGTTTTTTTGAGTCAGGGTCTCACCATCTAGTTCAAGTTGGCCTTGAACTCACTATGTAGCCCAGGCTGGCCTCAAAGTGATCCTCCTGCCTCAGCCTCCCAAGTGCTGGGATTACAGGCGTGCGCCACCACGCCCGGCCTCTTGCCTGATTTTAAAAGACAGGTTGCCTTGGACCCAGAGGTTGCCTGCCTGGAGGGAGATGGCCAATTCATGAGAAGAAAGGGATGAAGAGAGAAAGGAAGGAGGGAGGGGCAGATGGACAGATGTGAGTAGACAAGAATCCCCCCCAACATCCCTCTAGGCGTGTGGGGAAGTGGTGTGCAGGTTGGCTATACTAGGGGGAAATTGGAAATAACGGCAGATGGCCATCAGCAGATGAATAGTGTCAGGTTTATATCACTGATAAATCAGCCTCCAAGGCACAAAGGTTTGTGTTGCTCCTGGTTTCAGGGGTTCCAGTCCATAGTTGCTTGGCCCGATAGTTTGGGCATGTGGTAGCCCAGGGCATCATGGCAAATGAAGAGGAAAGAGGAGAGAGAGGAAGGGCAGGAGTCCCACCATCCCCTTCAAGGACACGCCCCCAATGATCTCACTTCCGCCCCCTGAGCCTCACCCCCCAATAGCACAGAGGTTGGTGACCAAGACTTAAACACATTGGATTTTGGGTCCAGATCCAAATTACAACAAATGATGAAAGAAACAAGTATATCCATTGCATGGGATATCGCTCAACAAAAGAATGAGCTTGTTGGGTGTGGTGGCACATGCCTGCGCTCAGGAGGCTGAGGCAGGAGGATCACTGCAAGTTGGAGGCCAACCTGAACTACAATGGGAGACCCTGCCTCAAAAAAAAGGAGGGGCCAAGGGTTTAGCTCAGTGATTCTGCCTCCTGCCTCACAAATGCAAAGTCTCAAGTTCGATCCCTGGTACCATACCAAAAAAAAAAAAGAATGAACTTAGGAGGTCAGCATTCTGATAACAAACCCAGAAAGATATAACAAGAAAACAAACCAATAAATATGTCATAAGTGTGTGTATGTATATATATATATGTAAAAATCCGCAACAAATAGGATGTGGTGTCACGTGTTTGTAACCCCAGAATTTGGGAGGCTGAAGCAGGAAGATCCCCTCAAGTTTAAGGCTACCCTGGGTTACATGGTGAATTCAACACAACCTGGACTACGTACATAGCGAGACCCTGTCTCCATCAAGGAAAATAAATATGAATGAATGGCTAGGTGTGGTGGTGCAGGCCTATAATCCCAGCACTCAGGAGGCTGAGGCAGGAAGATTGCTAAAAGTTCAAGGATAGCCTGAGGTACATGGTGAGCTCAAAGCAAGCCTGCATTACAAGGAGACACTGTCTCAAAAGAAAAGTGAATGAATAACCTCAACAGAATGCAAGAAAATAGAATCCAGCAACACATAAAGACTATACTGTGACCAAATGGGCTTTATCCCAGAAATGCTAGGTTGATTCAATATGCAAAAATCTGTTAATGTACTAATCTGGACATGGTGGTTCACACCTGCAATCTCAGCACCTAGGAGGCTGAAGCAGGAAGATCACCACGACTTTGAGGACAGCCTGGGCAATGCAGTAAATTCAAGACCAGCCTGGACTACATAGTGAAACCCCATCTCCAGAAACAAAAACAATCAGTCAATGTACATACTATAGCATATCAATAGATAAAGACAAACACACGATCTTGGTAAACATAGAAAAAAAAATATTTGAAGGGCTGGGGATTTGGCTCAGTGGTGCCGCCACCTGTCTCACAAGGGCAAGAGCCCAGCTTGAGCCCCAGTACCAAAAAAAAAAAGAAAAAGTAAAGAAAAAGCATTTGACAAAATTTAACATCCTTTCCTCTTAAAAATACACAAGAAAAGCCGGGTGTGGTGGCAAACGCCTGTAATCCCAGCACTCGGGAGGCTGAGGCAGGAGGATCTCTGTGAGTTTGAGACCAGCATGGACTACACAGTGAGTTCCAGGTCAGTCTCAACTTCATAGTGAGAACCTGTCTCAAAAAAAAAAACCCACAAGAAACTAGAAATAGAACTTTACCATAAGGAGCACCCACAAAAACTTCACAACTGTCAGATGTGGCGGAGCATGCCTGTAATCCCAGCTGATCAGCAGGCTGAGGCAGGAGGAATGTGGACCCCCACAGCTGAAGATCTACTGCAGTCTTCCAGCAATAGCAAAGAGATGAATCCCTCCTTTGAGACACTGAGGAAACTGATGACCTTCTCCAGGTCTTCTCTGATCCACACAAGGAGCGTGGGAAAGCTCAGTCCATGCCTGAGCCGCAGCTCCTCGTGCCTCCGATTCTGGTGATGGCAGCTCAAGCCAGGACCAAATAATGCCAACCTCGAGGCCTACAGGGATGAGTTCTGGATCCTCTGGTGTCCCCAGGAGGGTCCCCACCCAGTATTCAGCAACACCCTAGATGAAGACCTGGATGCAATCCTTCACGAAGAATTTGACTGGAAAATTGGGATTTTTGAATGAAACAAGTAGCATCTTGTGAACAGCAGGCTACCAGAAGACCCAAAGAGGCTACTCATTGATTGCCAGAAGACAAATGTCTCTGCACGCAAGATGTACTGGCTGTAATGAAATTAGCCAGGTGCAGGACACAAGTGGTGAGCAGACTTAAGAGCACTGTGATGGTTGATTTTTTTTCAGAGACAAATTTAAGAGAAGCTTAGCTAGATGGGCTGAGCATTTCCACTCCCTAGAGCAGAGAAGATCCACCCTAGGGCCTCTCCCCGACCCCCTAGACTGTGGAGGACTCACCCCAGGGCAGCTCCTTGTGTGGCTGATGTAAAGGGGAAATGAGGAAGGGACCTGCTGCTTCTGTTCCTCCCGAGGAGCTCCAGTCTTCTCCTGCCTTCTAGAGCAGACCGGCTTCTGGTGTGGATCCTTCAGCCTTGCGGCACAGACTCTTCAGCCTCCTATCCCAAACCCATCAGCCTCCTGATACGGACTCGCTCGGGACACTACAGTGGGCTCCAGATCCTGGACTAAATCCTTCAATCTCCAGGGTGCAGACAGACCCTCTGCGCGCTTCCTCATCCGACTCTGTGGGTGGGCACTGTAAACCAGTCTTGTAAATTCATATACATTTTTACATCTTGTGTATTATTTGTTTCTCTAGTAAATACTGACCGATACAAGCATCCAGATGACAGCATCGTGTGGCAGTGAGGTGAAGACCAACAGAGACAACCAGACACTCTCTGGGGGGGCCAGATGACAGCCCCGAGGGTTCATCAGATCTTTTATTGGAGTCCGATGGCAACCCTTGTTGGTGACCAGAGCCAAAGCCTCTACCTGAACCAGATGACAAAACCCTGTAATGATCAGAGCGTCAGTGTGGGCCAGATCATGAACTTAAGCGATTGCCAGATCCTCGGTGGATCTATCAGCTTTTGGCAGCACCACATCCATGTCTCCTAGACCTGGCAGGTCCCCCTTTGATCCGGTAACGACTCCCACACAAGCATCGGAATTTACAGACTTAAGAGCTCACCGTTCCTGAAGAAGCCTGAAAATTTCAAGCCCTTCACCTGCCTACACCAGGGCTGTGGGTAATCTTACTCAAGGTCTTGCCTCCAGTTCCACCAGCGCACACACGGTGGCCAGAAGCCCTATGCATGCAACATGCAGGGATGCAAGTGGAGATTCATCTGCTCTGATGAGCTCAACAACACATGAGAAGGCACCCTGGGGAGCGGCCCTACAAGTGTGAGGCCTGCCCCAAGAGTTTCGCGCCGTTCAATCACCTAACAGCATCAGAGTCCGCAGATGATTTGCCTAGGACTGGAGCCCAGCAGTCTATGAGGAACGGTGTACAGATATGACATCTTCCCTGAGCCTTTTCTCTTGTTTCATACCCACCACTGTACCAACACATAATAGATGCTTTATATTTGTCAGTGCTTTTTAAAAACGTTTTGGGTTTTTCTAAAGCACACGAGAAATACATGGGTGTGCTTTTCCATGAAAACTGAGTAATAGGGCTGGGAATGTAGCTCAGCAGCATAGTGTCTGCTTGGCAAGCATGAGGCCCTGGGTGCTATACCTGGTGTTAAAAAAACTGAGTAATATACAATTCCGTAAATGTAGAAGCACTCTTCTTGCATTGCCCTCTCTAAGGCAAGGCTTTCTATGTGCTCTGGTCAAGACTGTGTCGTGACATCTGTCAGTGGCTACGGCAGATGCAGACAAGGGGGAGGCGGGAGACAATGGGGGAGACTGGTGTCACATCTCCCTTGTCATGCCTGAGAATTGTTGCGGAGACACTGGAAGGTCCATGTGTACATTTGCCTGCGAGAACAAGTCCAAGGGTGCGGATGGGCAAATTCATCCCATTCATACAAGGAGCTCCTACGAAGATATCTCCCAGCAATGCTCACTCTTACCAATGTACAATCACCAGGTCCTGCAAGGAGCCTCTGAACTAATGCATTTCATTCCAGAACAGCTCCTATGAAGTCATGTTTGCCTTTTTGTCTTATTTTGCTCCTTTGCTTAAAGATAGGGTCTCCATCGTTTCAGTTTCAATAAACAAATCATTTTCACTACTGTTGGATTTACTGCCAAAGGGCAAATCAATCTCTGATAGTGAGTGCTGCAATAATCGTGTCATGAAGTGTGTGATGCCTGACTGAAACCTAGAGGCGACACTTGTTGAAACAGTGAGGGAAATCTAAAACATTTCTGTAAAGGGCAAATCAATCTCTGATAGTGAGTGCTGCAATAATCGTGTCATGAAGTGTGTGATGCCTGACTGAAACCTAGAGGCGACACTTGTTGAAACAGTGAGAGAAATCTAATAAACATTTCTGATAAAAAAAAAAAAGTGAATCGGCCGGG